ATTTTAATTTGTAAGTAAAATGTTATTATTTTTATTAATCATGAATTGCAAAAAGGCAACAGAAAAATAAAAAAATGACTAGAATCACAATGGAACTGAAAAAAGAGATTGTTGAGAAATATGAAGGTGGCATGCGTGTTCGAGATTTAACTGTTTTCCGAGAATGACGATATCGACAATCATGAAAAATAAAGACAATATTAAATTTGCTAATGTTGCGAAAGGGGTTAAATCAATTTCTAAACAGAGATCGAAGACATTAGATCATGTTGAGAAATTGCTTTTGCTTTGGATAACTGAAAAACAGTGTGCTGATGACAGCGTATCAGAAGCAATTATTTGCGAGAAAGCTAAAAAGATACATGCTGATCTTATGAAAAATCAAGCAGGAACTAGCCAGGAAAGCGAGGTGTTTAAAGCCAGCCATTTTTTTACATGAGAACAGATTAATCATTTTTACTTTACTTCTTATGGGAAAGGTTGGTTTGGTATATGTCCTATTCGGTATAAGTCCAAACACCAGGAATAGATTAAGGTTGTATACCGAAGTTCCACTGTATTACTATTACTATATGCAGTAGAACTACATTATTTATATTCACTTTTTCTATTCTTGAAAACTTTATGAAAATGCAACTGCTTGCTTTTTGCATAAGTATCTTCAATTGATTAGAACATTTTCAAAATATCTACACTTGATTCTAACTGGTTTGTGTCAAGAAATGGAATTTGCATCTTGAATATTGTTGCCTTTGGAACTGATATTACATCATCATATATCAATGCTTCCTAAAGCAAAACACTTAAATTAATTAAACATGCTTTTGGGATATTAATAGTAGGTTAGTCAATCAATTCTCCAATTTACAAAAGCATTAATGACATTGTCAAGATTGTGTTGAGATTTATTCCCTGTTTTCTATTGTAAATTTTTGTATGCATTTTTAAAACAAATCTCTTTATTGCAGAGTACAATTAACTGCTCTACATCATAAATGTAATATTGATATGTTATGTGGATATAAAGTACATGTTACTATATACAAAGCACTATTTATTAACAACTGTTAATAAATTAACTGTTTAATGATCATAGAGATGTATTAAGGATTTTATAACTTTTTATGATAGAATGTAACTTTTGGAAATTAGTTGGGAGTTTAGAGTTGATGGTATAATTGTGAGGACCACCACCACCCTCCAAATATATATATATATATATATTGTAAACTTATTTGTAATAATTTTTGTTTATTTACTTTATATCTTTTTTTTATTATGTATTCACATGAACCTTAATTGTATCTTGGATAACAACCGAAGTTGTAAGAGGAAATTCGCCTATTTTACCAATCTAGGGACCCCCCTTTTTAATATCAAGTAATTAGAATAAAACGGTTTATCATTCAAAATCTCGCAACATGCCAAAGAAAAGAGGAAAAAGCAACCAAATAATCAAAAATTATATAGAAATGAGGAACATTGCATCCCCCTTTGTTCTCGGCAATGTTTACAGGAAGAACTTAGTCAAATCAAGCAATGAACAAACAATGACTAACAACAAAGATGAGTCATGTCAACTCAGAAGATGACTCTAAGAAAGCTGCAAGTCATCCCCAAATAAGAAAACACTGTCCCAGCTACAACGATGACACTAACAATGAGTCATCACCCAATGATGACTTTCTCATGCTGAAAGGGTTTAAAAGGAAAGCCCCAACAAGAGAAAGGACAGTCCTGTTTGGCAGTTCAGTCAGAGATGGGGACACAGTAAGTTAGAGAGAGTTCAGTCAGAGAGGAGGACATCGTCCAGTCAGAAAGGAGAGACAGCTCCAGTTAGAGACAGTTCAGTCAGAAAAAGGCAGTCAGAGTGAGGACACAGCCCCGTTAGAAAGACAGTTAGAAGGAGACGGCGAAATAGTCAGCATATGTGGACACAGCTCCAACCCGAGAAAGAGTGGCTCAAGAGAAGACAACTCAAAAACGAGCAAGCACAAGACAAAGTGCAGTGAACCCCAGAAACCTCCGCAGTCTTGGCCGTCAAGTCAACGTCACAAGAGAAGACATCTTGTTTATCTGGTATGTTGTGAGTCGCGTAAGTTCGAAATACCCCCCTGTTACGTACCCCCCTCATTGAATAGATAAGAATAGACAAATTTCCAAAATCGGTTTTTATAACTCTGTTCTAAACTTTCATTTATGTTAATAAATGTCCTTAAATTGGTTATATCTGACTCTGTATTCTTCCTCCTGAGAGGCTCATTCCTGGACTTCAGAGTGACTCTTACCCTCGCGCCTTAATCATCCATTTTATCTCAAACGGCGGTGTGTCCGATAAAACACACCTGGTGGCAGGACTCTACCTAAAAAGCATTTAATAAACCTTTTACGGCCCCCGATCCCCACATAATGCATTATAATTTTTCCTGTTTAAAATAATGTGAAATAGGCTGTCAGTTAATGCTTTCCTGCAGGATGTCTGATTTTCAGGAACTACTTTACTGACATTGAGAGATGCTTGTATATTATTACAATTTTTTTTTAATTCAATGTGCTCAAAAGTTCTGAAATTTCTATAAATAAAATTCATTTACTTGAATTTATGTATTAATAATTATTATTTTTATTCATATTTGTTTAATCATTGCATTTATTTGAATAAATCAATAATTTTAATCTATGATTATTTCTTTCAGAGCCAATAAGCAAATTTGCACAGCTGTTGGTCAGTTTTGGACCTGTTGTCTTCCAGATCAAGTGGTGACAATTAGTGATTACACTATCTCTAAAATGGCATTTGGCAGCAAACATTGTTTATTTATTACAGAACAAGGAAATGTATATAGTTTTGGAGAAGGTAAATATGGACAGCTTGGATTGGGAGATACAGAAGATCGTTTATCTGAACCCTGTCTTATAAAATGTCTTCATAAAATAGAAAACATTGCGTGTGGTCCTTACTTTTCGGCAGCTCTATCTTCAGATGGAAAAATATATATGTGGGGTGATAATAGAAATCAACAATGTGGACAAGAAAAACCTGAAAAAATATTATCTCCAACTGAAATTGATTTTTCTAATGTTAGTTCAAACTGTGAAAAATGTGGCGTATTATTAAGTAAAAACATAGCAATAAATAAAATATCCTGTGGTGCATTTCATACATTAGCCATTTCAAGTGATTACGAATTATGGACTTGGGGTAGAGAATTAGATTTTACATCAACAAACATTTGTTATCATAAGCCAAAGAAAGTGGAATTTCTAAAAACAAAAAGAGTATTATCTATTGCCTGTGGATATACTCATAGCTTAGCTGTTACAGAAATAGATTCAACTAATTTTTCTAGTTTAACATTATGTATTTCATGTAAGAGTACTTCTACTTACAGTAATCAAGTTTTTAATAAATGTAATGAAGTTTGTCCCTTAGGCCTTCCTGTTGAGTCTGAGCATCAGAAAACTTCAGAAGTTAGTAATAAAGATGATGAATGTAATTTAGAATCAATATCAGAAAATGAAGTATTAAATTCAAAACAAGAAAATGCTGAAAATATTGATATAGCAATAAATTCTACATTCAAACAGGAAGAAAATATGTCAAATCAAAAAGAAACTGTGGAAGAATCATTTCCTGTTATTGAATCAAAAAATGATTCAGATAACCTTCTTGAAGAAAATGATAAAAATGAAGATGCTGCAGTAATTCCCACAACTAATTCTCAATATACAACATCCAATGTATTAAATCATATTAAAAAACGATCATCATCATTACTAGATCATGACTTAGCAAAAGAATTTTTAGTAAGACAATTCTCTGAACTTATTCAACCTGTTGAAAAACGTCATATGAGTGAACCTAGTAAAAGTGATGAAACAGACAAAAAAAGATCTGATTGGGAATTGTTGTCTATGAAAAGTGTTGTAGATAAAGTAAAAACAACTGTAGATAAATTTAGTTTTGTTTCAATTGGACATAGATTTAGTGATTCACCACTTGATAGTTCTCAAAGTAGTCAGGAATCGTTTGAAATCATTGAAGTTGATGGACCATCCTCTGCATTATCATCATTAATTGTAGATGATGGTTTGCAAACAGTGAAAAGGACAAATTCTTTAAAATCTGTATTAGAAGCTAAGATGTTTCAGAAACAAAAAAATCGCAAAGGTAGCTTAGAATCTCTTGCACCAGGTTATGCTAGCCATCATAAATTAAAATATCCTAGAAAGCAAATTAATACAAGACCATGTATTCAAACAGAAGTTTGGTCTTGGGGAGAAGGAAAATATGGAAAACTTGGCCATGGTGATGAGTTAAATAGGTTTGTATTATCAATATTATGATGATTATTAAATTTTTAGTATTAAATATATAGAAATTATTGTTAATGAGTTTTTATAACAGAATATATTTTGAAAATCTAAATAACTTTTTCAATATATGGATAGTTTAAAAAAAATAAGTTTAAATTTTAAATACCATATTTTTGATTAATATGGTATTTAAAATTTAAATACATTTAACTTCATAATAAATTTAATAAAAATGTTGACTTTTACAAGAGAGTTCATACTCTTACATTATTTGCATACATTTCTAATACAATTTTCAGCAGTTATATGATGTAATATAAAGAATTTCACATATTAAAAATGATAATCATTGAAAATGCTCTTAACAATGAAGACAACTTATTTCATTTTCACAAGTCAGTAACTTTCTTCCAAAAATTGTTTTATTACTGTAAAAGGAAGCTTGAAGGAGTTTTTCAATTTAGAGGAGTTTCTTAGAGGAGTTTGCCAATTTAGTTTAAATCACTGCTTCAGTATCAATGCAAACAGGGCCGGATTAACCCATTTTGGGGCCCTAGACATTTTCTTCTTACCAGGCCCTCTTTCTCTCCCACAAGAAATAAAACAAAAGTAAATAATGTGAAAAACTAAAACAAATCTTAAATTTTTAGTAATAAAAACTATTTAATATACAACAATAAATTTTAGTTTTTCTAGAAAAGTTTAAACAGTCTGTTTATAAATTTTAAAAAATTGATATTTATTTTATTAAATGTCTAACAAAAGTTGTTATACAATAGCAATTTTATCTTAAAATATTGATTGTTTACTTTAACCTTTTTTTGGTTACTATTTAAATAATATAATATTTTACCCATTTAAATGTACAAAAACATTCATATCAGTAAAAAGAGTGGTGTTTTTGCTGGTTTTGGTGTTTGTGATTGTTTTAATTCATTTGTAACTAACATTTTTATGTACAACTAAGTTTAAATAAATATTTCTCAAATGCATGTAAATGTTTTCTTCAATTTATATTTTGCCAAAAGAAATTCAGTAACTGTACGTTTCTGACATCTATTATTATTAATAAAATCCTCCTGATTAAGTAAGTAGTAATAATAATTATGTTTATGAGTATTACTTTTGTACAGTTTTCAAACAAAAAGTAAGTCATAAATTTTTCAAATGAAATTTGATCATGAAAAAAATATATTTCATTACACAAGTCAAAAACATCAACTGACAGAGCAAATGAGCGGTTGCCACCATATTCAAAAGTTCTTATAAACAGTTGTTAATTTCAATATACAAGCATATAGTATTTATTAACTGTCTATTTCATTCTCTACTTATAATAAAATGCTGAATTTATGTCTTGGGACAATATCAAATAATGATGATAGCATTTTATCATTTATGGAATAATTATTCTTTAATTAAAAAACATTAAATTCATTAAGTAATAATAGAAGTATTTATAATTATATCTTTAGCAACAACTTTTAGAAAAAATTAAGTTTTCAAAAATTAAAATTTCTCTTTGTGATATGAAATGTTATGAGTTAATATTTGAACATGTAAATAAATTTCAAACAGTTTTGTGATTCTAGATAAATAAAATTCAAAACAATAACTAAATAATATAATATATAAATTTATTAAAACTAAATGAAAAAACTTCAAATTACTTTTGTAAATATTAATAATATAGAAAGATTGTCATACCATCTGAATAAAACAAATATATTTCTTGAAATATTCTTTATCCTTACATTTTTTAATGAAATAAAGAAAATGTAAGTTTTATTTTATTAAAATTATTTTATATNAATAATTTTTAAAAATTTAAATATCTACTAAAGGAAGAATAAACTCCCATTCAATGTTAAATGTAAAGGAAATAAAACACAATAAAATTGGGTTTCCTTTTAATACAAAGGTAAATTTTTAATGGTTTTATAATACCAGAAATAGTTAAGGAGGTTATTTATTAATTATTGAGTATTTAAGTTACTTATTATAGCATTTAAAATTGTTTTTTTATTTACTTTTAAATTAACTAAAATCTTTAATGTACTGAACATACAGTTTAATGAACTTTTTAATAAATATTCAAAAATATTCATTGACCATTTTCCTTATTTTTGTCATCCTAACATTTAACAGTTTAGATTACTGATTAGAGAACAATATATGACACTTCATTTTACTGAATATTTTCATGTCATGCTAAAATCACATACCACTAAGTCAATTAATTTGTAACTATTATTTTATGTAATACTTATTTCAACTTAAAAATTATATATAGATTTCAACCTAGTTGCATCAAATCTCTTTCTGGACAAGGTATTGTTCGTGTTATAGCTGGAAGTGAACATTCTGTTGCTCTTACAGCAGACTGCAAAGTTTACACTTGGGGAAAAAATGATAGTATGCAGCTTGGACATAGTTTAAGTTCAAAATCAGTGTTATCACCTAAAAGTATTGAAGTAAGTTTATTTTATTATGAGTAATCTAGTAATAAAATGATAACATTTTACTGTTTTAATTAACAGCTATCTCAGCATCTGGTATGGGATATAGCAGCTGGTGCCAATCACACTTTATTACTGACAGATATCAAGACAACTCATATAGCCCTTTTCTATTGTGGTAGTCATGACAGGTAACTAAGTTTACAACAACCTCTAGCTATATATTTATTATATTATGATTTAATGTGTTATTACTCTAAATATGATTTATTTATGGAAAGTTTTTGGGTAGAATTGTCAGCTGTTATAGTGTTTACTGGAGCATAATAATTATTATAAAAAACATTTTATATAAAAAATTTTAAACTTGAAAACTTTATATATATGCACATATATGTGTAGTGATAATTAATCTTTGAAGAAAATCTTATAAATATGTTTACAATTGAATTATTATTAAACAAAAATATTATATATAAATTTATCTGCTGATTCATTAATAGTGACCTTATTTTGTCTTGTTTGATTAGAATGTTTATTAATGCATAACTTTTCAGTGCAAATAATTCAGAAAGTTGCTCATGTTTGAAGAGAAGAGGTCTTATTCAACTCAATATTTTAAAAAAGGTATAAATATACTGTATAATATTTTGTTTTTCCTTCACTATCAATATAAATGTTAATATTATTAATTATTTTAGAGTGGTTTAGTTACAAGGATATTTGCTGGTGGACCTTATGCAGGATGTGTTGTTGATCAGCAAGGCATTGGTGAAATGCCTGTTCTACATGAATTTGCTGCAACAGAAAGAAGATATTATAATCAATTACAGATTATTCTATCAAAAGTATTCACACCGATGTTGAAAGATGATAAAAGTTAGAAAAACTATTTACTTTAATAATTTTATAATCTAAAAATTAAAAACAATAATAATCTAATAATAGATATTAATGTTTTATCAGGTCAACATTTACTTGATATTTCTCCAATATTTGCTGATTCTGTTAAATCCTTAATTGGCCAATTTGCTGAAATGATAGATATGGTTTCATTGAATGCAAATGATTTAACACTTCTTGTTCAGGGACAATGTCATTTTGATTCTATTTATATATTAGAAAATGAAGAAGAATGGTTGAATTTATATTTAAATTACATCAAATCTCTCAGTGATGTTATTGCTGTTAATGCACTAACTGCATATGGAAAACATGTTGGGTAATGATGAGCATTTTAAAAATCATTGTAAAATGTAATTATAAATATAACTTTATAACATTAATTTTTAAAAACTTTTAGTCCATCTGTGACAAGTATTGCACATAATATCCTTGGAGATATTGGATTAGAGCAAAAAAGCATTCTTGATATCTTGATTTATTTATTGCATATACCCATTAAGAGAATAATGGATTATGTTAGATTATTTACAAGAATTTCAGCAATTGTTCCTAAGGTAACATTTTATATTTTAATCTAAAATTAATATATTTAAATAATAAAGATTTTAAAAATTATATTTTAGCATATTCCTGACAAAGAAATAAACACAACAATGTTATGGAAACATATTTCAGAGATAGCAAATAGAGAACTTCATCAAGCAGAAATTACTAAATTATTTTGGGATAATTCTCCTCAAAAACTTGTGGTAAAAGTTTATATTGAAAATATTTTTTTATTGGAATGTTTTAATTAAATAGCATTTCTTTAGGATACATTTCGATCACCTCAAAGAAGGTTGGTGAAAGAAAGTCGTACCCTTCCATTAAATTTGGCTTCATCTGGTCGGTTTTCATCACATTTGTTTATTCTTTTTAATGATGTTTTTGTACATAGTCAGGTAATTTTTTAAATTATTTATAATCAAATATTTTTACAAATTGGAAATACAAATTGAAATTTAATATATAAATTAAATATTTTAGTTTGGAGGTCTTCAAAGTTATCCATTACAATTAGTTTGGGTTGAACCATTACCAGATTCCAGTAATTTGCAGTAAGTAATTTAAAAATATTTTGCAATTGTTAAAAATATTACTTTGAAACTATATGTTGTTTTATTCAGAAATGCCATTGTTTTAACAACACCGGAAGAAATTTTGACTTTCACGTGTCCATCTTCAAGTGAAAAGGTAAATAAAGGAAATTCTTATTTTATAGTTGATGTATAATATAAATAAAATGTAGCTTAACAAATTATTCCACACTGTTTAAAAAGAATGCATAAACTAAGAGCTGTTTTCAAATTTTAATTAGAAATTGTTTATTTATTAATAAATTATGTAATCTGTTACAAAAATATAAATTTATTAAATTTGTTTCTTAGTNTAAAACTGGCTTTGAAAGGGAGGAGAGCACTTTGTAAAATTTGTTATTCATTAGTAAGTGATATAATCTGTTACAAAAATATAAATTTATTAAATTTGTTTCTTAGTAAATTTTCAAAATTGTATATTAGTAAAGTGAAAGAAAATTAACTATTTTGTTTCATAATCAAAATGATAAATGTGGGATTTGGGCGAGAAGTAAAAAGACGAGAGTCGGCGAGAGTTGGAATGACATGAGAAGAGGAGTTAGATGATGGTTAAGGAAGGTGAAAAAGAAGAAAAGACATTACGGTCATAGAACATTATTCTATCAAGATGATTATTTGGAGACAATTTGAAGACGCTGGAAGATTATTGTTATTTCTAGTTTTCTATTTCGATCATTATTTCTAAAATTTTGGGGGCTCATCTGGGATTTAAATGAACTTCGTATGAAAACTTTTAAAAGGGCAATAATGGAAGCCAGACAAGATGGCGGAATTAGTGACACTATGGTGAACGACGAAGAACTATGACTGATTATTTTATCTAAGGACAATACAATGACAGATGTGAAACATCTTAAGTGTGATGATTTGAAAATTGAACTAGGACGACAAAAATTTAAAATAATGGGTAGCAAGAGAGAGTTGGTGCAAAGATTGGAAGCGGCACTTTTGATTGAGAATGTCAGAGACGACGACGTGCAAAGTGACAACGATGTTGACCAAAGTGAGGACAACGATAGTAATATTATGCGACATAAAAGTGAGTACTCTAAGCCAATGTTTACCTTTAGAGATGTTGATGAATTCCTCAAAATGTTCAGTGGTGATGACGGAAAAAATGTCGTTAAATGGATCTCCAATTTTGAAGACATGGCAGAAATGTGTAAGTGAAATGACATGCAGAGGATAATTTACACAAAATGGCTACTCAGAGGTTCAGCAAGAATGTACGTAAACTATGAACAATATACTAAATCATGGAGAGCATTAAAAGAAGCTTTTTGTGCCAACTTTTCTCCAAAACTGAACAGTAGAAAGATTCACTAGCAACTTTCAATGGAGATGAAGTATCAGAGTAAAACTTATCAGGAATATATGTATCGGAGGATTGAAATTTCATATAAATTGTGATTGAGGAAGAATCGGTGATATACAATACATCATTAATGGAATTCAGGATGACAAAGTAAGTAAAACAGTGCTTTTTGATGCTACTACTTTCAAAGAATTTTGACAGAAGCTGCAAATTTATGAAAACATGAAATCAAGTTGCAAGTTAAATGCTAAAATGACAGTGGAATCTAAAAAGCTAGAGTTGTGAGATTAAGCCTAAGAATGCTTGTGGAGATGGAAAACATTGCTATAACTGTGGCAGAAAAAATCATGTGAGTAAAAGCTGTCTAGAGAAAGACAAAGGAATGGAATGTTTTAGTTGTAATAATTTTGGTCATATTTTATCTGAATGTCCTCGAAATTCTGAGAAAAGAAGTTATGAAGTAAAGGGAAAAGAATTTTAAGTCAAAGCCTGTAAAAGAAGTCAAAATAGATGAAGTGAGCTTCACAGCACTTACAGATTCGGAAGTGATATAAAGTTGATGAGATCCGATGATTACATAAAGATGGGCGTACCAAAATTAACTTCATTAGAATTTCATGAAATTGGCGAGCGTAAGAGAGCTATACTGGGAAGTTTTTGGACTGTAGTAAGTGTTGACAGAGATCAATTTTCAGTCCTCATTCATGTGGTTTTTAGTTCATTCCTTGCTTATCAGTTATTGTTGGGAGCATGCTTTCTGAAACAAGTTCATATCAATTTAAAAGAAGGTTGTGTTGAGAAGATTATCAAAACAAAAAATGTAGCAGTAAACATTTCAGACGTATGCAATATCGATGTGGCCTGTATAGATACTAGTGGTGTTGGCTTGAGCCATGTGAATGATGCAAGATATACAGGAGAGCTTCTAGATGTAATAAAAAAACCACAAAGCAAGCATGCCAAAGCCCAATACTGGCAAAGAAGGATGACGTTCCCATTGCAGAATCCATCTCCGAAGCCCTAGAGGAGGTTGACCTCAGTAAGGAAAAGAACGAGTTGGGGAAATGGTGAGAGAAATTGCAGAAGAGCCCAAAAAAGCGTATGAGCCAACCTTCTTTAAAGAGACACAGTGACAGGAAATCAAAACTGAGAGGCCCATTCAGCTGAGATGGAACTCGCCAGAGAAATGCCTGTTACAACGGGTGTTCCAAGAAGAGAAAGGTGAAAGTTGGCATTTTGAAAATGGTGATGGGACCATATCTGGTGCCAAGTTGCTGAATCTGATGAAGAATACCATACTGACGGATATAGATGTGCAGACTCTTATCAATTTCTTGTTAAACAAGCAGGGAAAAGCTTCTGGCTGGATGAAGAAAAGTGATCTAGTGATGACTGAAAAAAGCAGCTACAATAGAAAGAACAAGCTCTGAAAGTGGAACAGAAATAGACCCAGGCAGCAACTAGTAAAAATTATGTGAACTTATGTCATTGCACGAGACCAAGTGCAAAGAGCTGCAACAGAAGTTGTTGAGCATAAACAGTCAATTAAAATCTGTAGAGAAAACTTGTTCTGTCATCAGTCAGGAATTAAAAGACAAATCTAGAAATGAACAATAACACACTAAATCTCAGGTTGCAAGCTATAGACAATGTTGTCAAAGACAGGGAATGAGAAATTAAAAAGTTACAGGCCAGTCTGAAGGGTACTTGCATGTAGAGAACAGAACTCAAATCTTGTCTAGAGCAACTTCAGAATAAACTCGAGCAATTAACAAAGAGCCAAGAAGAAGAAATTCATCAGGTGATGTCGACCCAGATTGATCATGAAAATCTAAGTCAGTTTCCAAACATAGGTAAGAGAACCTCAGCAAAAGGAGAAGAGACACCTCATTATCATTAAAACAGAGATGTTTGCCAAAAAGTTTACAGAAGAAAATGTTAGAGCTTTCCAAGCACAAACAAAAAATGGAAGAGAAAGAGAAAACAGTGCATCACTATTAGACTGTTCTAGCGGAAACAGAAGCTATATTAAATAAATTACAAAATAGTGTTCAACTGATGAAATTTTCAACTGGTCAGACAAGGACATCGGGGACAATGTCAGCTGTCAGGATGGTTGAATGTGGGATTTGGGCAAGGAGTAAAAAGGCGAGAGTTGGAACGGCGCGAGAAGAGAAAGAGATGACGGTTAAGGAATGTGAAAAGACGTTACGATCATAGAACATTATCATTCTATTGAGAAGACAGTTTGGAGACGATTTGAAGACGCTGGAAGATTATTGTTATTTCTAGTTCTCTATTTTGATCATTATTCCTACATAAACAATACCTTTTAAATTACAATACTTTATAATTTTTTTGCATTTTGTATTTATTTTTAGACTAGTTCATTAATACCTATCCTCCAACCAAGGTTGTGAAGAGTAATTAATGAGGAGTTCAAAAAAAATTAAAATATTTCAAAAACATTTTTATCAATATTTGAAATTAAGTAACATTATCATGTCAAATGATGATAGTGAATTGATAGTGAAAGCTTTTTTCCCAACAAAACTTAGTTTTGATTTTTAAGATGATGATTCAGTTATTTATGCAAGAATTTCAAAAGGCTAGTTGACATCATGAACATGACTGTAATGTTGATTCCAAGAAAAACCTTTTATGAATGAAAGTAAGAGCAATATTACAAATGATGCATTTACATGCTAGTACAGTAGACCCCCTATAACGCTTAGATACGTTCCACGCTAATCAAATTTTACGTTGTAGGAATGATTAAATACATGAGCCAATCGCAGCCCAATGGGCATGAAGTTTACGGGCTAAGGCTGTTTGAAAGGTTTTCTTCTATAAAATTAACCGAGTCTAGACTAATTCACTCAACATTTCCAAAACACGTATAATTTTTTGGAAATAATCTGTATAAACTATGCTATAAACAAAAAATTATAGGATTACTTACCGAGTGTGTACCATTCGACTACGCTGTTGCTCAAAGCTTGTTTTCGTTGCGGAATAGCACACGAAACGACGGCTGCGATTTCTGATAACGAATTTTTCGCAGAAAAATAACTTGACCTTTGGAGACATCATTAATGTAAATAATTTTTATGGCCGTTGAATAAGAAATGTTTCTTTCACAAGAAATGTATAAAATTAGTGCTGTATTAGACTTACGGTACCTAATTTACATACTGTACAGACGATAATAAACTCAACTTACTAGCCTAAAATCTCCGTAGCGTGTTGCCAGGCGGCAGAAAGCATATATATAATTATAATAAAGTTACAATAAATTAAGTTAATATATAATTATATATACAGTACCTAATTTATATATAATTAATATATAATTATATGTACAGTACCTAATTTATATATAATACTGTACAGACAATAGCAAACTCAATTTAGACACTCCGTAGCATGGCGCAGGGCGGAGGAAAGTAGTTCGGCTGCTCATCCACTATTGGTCCAGATTCTATCAATCTTGTCGCGAAACAACGTTTTAGGAGTTTTTTTAAACGAATGTTGCTGCAATTTTTTCGCTACGTTATAGGAATTTCCGTTATAGGAACGCACGTTATAGGGTGTCGACTGTAATTCATTACAAGCTCTTTATGATGTCAAAAAAAAACAACAGAAGAATTTCAAATTCTTGAAACAATATGTTGAAAGATTAACCCAAAATCAAGATAATTTATAGTGCATTAATCCTAGTGTGTGATTTCTAGCAATCACTACAAAATAATTTTTGATAAATAGACCACAGTTATTTATTTCCTTTTACATAAAAATTCAAACTTAAAAACATGACTATTTTATAAATTAGACTTTAATAAAAACATTAAATTATTTTCTTTTTAACTTTTTCAATAAAGTTATACTGTAGTTTTTAATTTACATTTAATTGACTTATTTAAAAGTAAATGAGACAGTAATGAAGTTGAACAATTTTTGCTATGTCTATGACATATTAATTAATACATCAACATATTCAACAATCAGCTATTATAAGGTGTTTAGAACTCATCACTGATAGTAGGAAATGCCAAGGTAACAGATTTAATATCTTCTCAAGAGGAATTAATAATTTTCTTTTAATTTGTTCTTAGTAGCATGTGCACAGTTTTCTGTTTACTTGGAGTTTTTCCCAATTTTTTTGTTTTTTTTAATCTATAAGTTTAGAAGTTGTGAGGGTCATCTTATATGATCAGTGAGCTACACACATGAAGGCTGAAATTTGGTCCTTGTCTTATAATACAATGATTTACAGATTTTAAGTTTTTACTCTTAGTTTTAGAACAAGCAAGTCAATTTAGCTCACAACTTTTTGTAGTCAAGCACAGACTGACTTTTAGGACCAATAATTGCATGACAAAAAAATGTTAATTAACTTTAGTTGAAAATCAAAATAAAATTTTGAAACGGACCCAGTTCAAAATTTTATTTATATATTTTGTAATTTCTTTATTATCTATATAATAAAGTAATGTTATCTAATTAATATGGGTTGTTTATTAAATGAACAGTATTATTATAATTAGTATGATATAAATTTAAAATCATTGATATATGAAAAATACAGAAAACAGTAAAGTGTAGAAAATATTGAAAGCTATATTAGGAATACTAAATTCAAGATAATTTGATATATGAGATTTTATTTAGCTTTAGTAAATGATAGCATTATATAGCATAATTATAATTTGAGTAATATGTCTTATAGACAGAGTGGGTATGTGCCTTAAATCAATCAATCAAAAAAATGCTTGATGGTGAAAAAAGAATAGAAGATACCATAACTTGGCTTACTATGAATCATCGGCGATTATCTCCTCCATTGGCAAGACATGCAACTTATGTATTTAGTAAACATTCTCTTTATAAAGATGCAAAATATTCAGGAATGTGGCTATGTGGTAAATTACATGGACAGTAAGTTTTTTAATTAATTATATTTAATTATTAATATAAAAATTACAACAACATAGTTTGTTTTAATCACTTTCAGTGGAGAAATGCTTTGGCCCGATGGTCGGAAATATTTAGGGAAATTCAGTCAAAATAATCAGCATGGAGAAGGCCTGTATATGATACCCAGTGGTGAACAATTCATAACTTACGAAGGTTATTGGAAAGAGGGAAAACAAAATGGATTAGGTGTAGTAAAGTAAGAATATTATTTTTTAGGAAATTCAAATAATAATCTTATTCATCAAAGTAAGAATTTTTTAAAAAAAGTAATAAAACTTATTAAAAGATGTTGATAAACAAATGTTCTTTTTTTATGATCACTAAATCTCAGGTTGCAAGCTATAGACAGTGTTGTCAAAGACAGGGAATGAGAAATTAAAAAGTTACAGGCCAGTCTGAAGGGTACTTGCATGTAGAGAACAGAACTCAAATCTTGTCTAGAGCAACTTCAGAATAAACTCGAGCAATTAACAAAGAGCCAAGAAGAAGAAATTCATCAGGTGATGTCGACCCAGATTGATCATGAAAATCTAAGTCAGTTTCCAAACATAGGTAAGAGAACCTCAGCAAAAGGAGAAGAGACACCTCATTATCATTAAAACAGAGATGTTTGCCAAAAAGTTTACAGAAGAAAATGTTAGAGCTTTCCAAGCACAAACAAAAAATGGAAGAGAAAGAGAAAACAGTGCATCACTATTAGACTGTTCTAGCGGAAACAGAAGCTATATTAAATAAATTACAAAATAGTGTTCAACTGATGAAATTTTCAACTGGTCAGACAAGGACATCGGGGACAATGTCAGCTGTCAGGATGGTTGAATGTGGGATTTGGGCAAGGAGTAAAAAGGCGAGAGTTGGAACGGCGCGAGAAGAGAAAGAGATGACGGTTAAGGAATGTGAAAAGACGTTACGATCATAGAACATTATCATTCTATTGAGAAGACAGTTTGGAGACGATTTGAAGACGCTGGAAGATTATTGTTATTTCTAGTTCTCTATTTTGATCATTATTCCTACATAAACAATACCTTTTAAATTACAATACTTTATAATTTTTTTGCATTTTGTATTTATTTTTAGACTAGTTCATTAATACCTATCCTCCAACCAAGGNAATATAAGGAGAAACAGGAAGATCATAAATATTTTAATATGATACCATATTTTCTTGATTAAACCTCAAGATTCGAATAAACTCTGGGTTGAAAAACATGGAAAATATGTTATGTACTTCACTATATAAGATAATGTAGCATAGAGTGACAGGTAAGAATTCTACCTCTTTAAATTGCTTACAGTCAGACACCACTTTCTATTCTAAGATTCATGGAAACATTTTTGGAAATAAAATTATAAAATTGTTGAATATCAAGCATGGAAAGTTGCAATCTTATCAGCTGACGGATAATTAGGAAAACTCAAATTGGAAAAGGGTAGTGAGTTTGAACAAGAAGACAATAATCAAGATCTTGATTCCAACAATGACATTGAAGCAGACATGAATGACAACATCATAATCAAATTGGAAGATGCTGAATCAGGTTAACTGTAAAAACAGTAATTATTTTAAACATTGAAGTTGTAACTCATAAATACAATAATAAATGGTTTTAATAGTTTGTAAAATGTACAAGTAATTAAGGTATTTCTGCCAATTTTCACCCATTTATCTCTAGTTGTAAGGTAATAAACCCCAAGGCAGTGTTTTTCAACCTGTGGGTCACGACCCCCAGGGGGTCGCAAAGCCTTACACGGGGGTTGCGGGTGAAAGAAAAAGACAAGTGCTTGTAGGTCCTACACTACAATAAAAAAAAAACTAGAATTTCAGTGAGAAGGCTGTGCCTGTTTATTTTACAGTACAATTGGTTTTTTGATTGATATTTAAAGAAAGAAAATTAAATATGTAGTTTTTAAAATCACTGATATAGTTTTAATATGGCCCTGGGGGGGTCGGCAGAATTTTTTAACTTGTAAAGGGGTCGCGTATTCAAAAAGGTTGAAAAACACTGCCCCAAGGGACATGTACAGTACATTTTAAAACTAAAACCCTCCAGGGTTTAATTGAAACAATACAATAATCCATCAAAATAATGAATTTTTTTAGATAAATTAGAAAGTCTTTAGTGATTGCTGCAAATTGAGTGAAATTCTGTAAATGGGAAATGACAACTTATTAAGCAGAAGATATACTTTAGATAATTGAATTGACAATTTGTTTATTAAATATTATGAAACTGATACCCAAATTGGAATACTGTTGTCTGTACAGACAACAGTATTAGTAAAAAAGTTGATCTAAGAGCTGTTTTTGAAGATTATGACATCTGGAAATGCTAAAGTATACTCTTTCTAATTAATAAAACTGTAAACAATTTATCAATATGTAGGTATTTTTAATATAAATCATGAGCCTTATGTCAAAAGTTTAAAAATTTTGAAAACAAACCATCTCAGCATATTACTAATTTTTACATTTATATACAGTATTAGTATTTGTTAAATAGTTATCTTAATTTCTGCTTCATACCCACATGATTTTGTATTTTAAACTCTTTTATGTTATAAAATGAATATAAAAATGATTGCTTAAGATGTTGAAAACATTTGTTCATTAAGAATTATTACTGGATTATAAAGATTTTAAATTTTGAATTGTTATTATATTTCAAAATATTAAACAGAATTCTGGAAAAACTCTTATAATTTTGAAATTTTAAATAAATGAAATTTGACAATAAAATAAACAAAAACTTTAATAATTTACACATATAATAATAATAAAATAAAAAATTAAAGTTTTAAACTTTACTCTATAAACTTTGAGATGTAGCAGAGTTAGATGTGGTTTAAGATAAGTTACAGGATCAAAAATGCTGGACATTCTTAATTTTATCATATGATATTCTTGTAGAATATTGAAAATGTAAATTTATCCACATTTTACAGCTCTTTGTATAAATAATCTTCAATGTAGATTTTTTAAAATATTTATTTTTTTTAGGTATCCTAATGGAGATGTATATGAAGGTTTTTTTAAAGATGGTTATCGTCATGGTCATGGTGTACTCAAACTTGGCCAGTTTTTTTCTTCAGCAGCTAGTGTTTACATTGGTCAGTGGGCATTTAATCATCGTCATGGTTACGGTGTTATGGATGACATTCGTTCAGGTAAATATTCATCTCTTTGTATATTTTTAGAAGTTAAAATACTACCATATTTACTCACATATAAGACGAGGTTTTATTCATTTTTCGCAGCTTCAAAAACCCAGGTCATCCTATACGTACATGCGAAGGATTCTTTGCATTTTTGCAATAATTTTTGTGAATTGTGTATTCACATTTTTTACTGGATGCTCACCATCTTGTGTTTAAAAATGAAAGTATTTTATCTAGGTCATTTGAATCCTTCTTGTGTATTGTCAGGAGTAAAGATGAATAGCAATAGGAAAAGCAAAGCTTTGAATTGAATTCCAAATTAAAATTCCAAACTCACACGGGAGCCCGATATAAGTTTTAATCCATTCCCACGTGAAAACAGATGATTATTCGGAAATCAGAATTTGAAGAAACTCATAAGTGTAATTGATGAAGAGCGGATTTGACTGTTAAGAATTGGCAAAGAAAGGTTTCTGATTGTCCAGCTTTACATGAACAAATTATGTTGTTGCTTTTGCACGATTTATTTTTCCTTAAAGTTTAAGATGCCTGTAATTTTTGCTGGACAATGTGTGCATTTAAGTGCATTTGATATTTTATTTCTGATTAAATGAAATAAAATTAGAATTGTATTAATAAATCTAATTTTCTTTATTTTGATCTTTAAAGTTACACCTCATCCTATATGCGAGTTTGTCTAATACACGAGTAAATACGGTATATCATAATTATGTATACATATAATTTACTATAATTTATACATATAATTTAATTTAAGCCTGTATTATATACCTGACATAAACCTGACTACTACACTGTTTTAGGGCTAGAAGAATAGTGATGAAATGATCAAATTTAGACTACAGGTAATTATTACCTGTAAAATATTAAATATTATTATGAGATGGTGGCTATCAAAAAAAAAAATCATCGTAATAAAAATCATCTCATGGAAGATTAATAACAATAATGTTTATAATTAGTAACTAAATTAAAATTAAGCAAATAATTTAGAAATTATAGAAGAAAAACAACTCTTGCATACCAAATATGTAGTTTTTAAAATCACTGATATAGTTTTAATATGGCCCTGGGGGGTTGCCTGAATTTTTTAACTTGTAAAGGTTGAAAAACACTGTAGTACAGAATAGACAAGTATGAAATCATTAATGTGAAAATACAATAAATTTATACATATAATTATAATGTAAACAAAGTAATTGTAAGCCACTATAGCTATCATCTTATTAGGTTAAATTTATCATTAGCTTGGTTATGAATTGTGAAGTTTATGCTGTCTAGCATTGGCTTATAGCAAGCACTCATCATATCTCTACTATTGATCATGCCAGTGTATTTAGATAAGCAATAAATGTATATTTGCTGTAGAATTCTAATCAGAAAGTTGTCTCAAGATTCATTAATAAGAACTGATTTATTCTAGAATACTTCTCACTCATGATTGCAAGTCCATTGCATAAGTGAGGTACTAATTTCGTATTGACCCAATATAACCAAAGTGAANAGTTTCGAGAAGGACCACGTGTATCGACAGAAGGCGAGAAGAGAAAATTTACATACTTAAGTACTAATAGTTCACGAAAATAATAATTTTCGTGAACTATTATTACTTAAGTATGTAAAAATTTATTACATTTCCTGTTGTACGAGGGTTTTACCCAATTCTCGAACCGTGTCAGAGTGAATCCGTGCTATAAAAGTACCGTGTTATACGGGGGATGGTACCAATTCTCGAACCGTGTTAGAGTGAATCCGTGCTATAGAAGTGCCGTGTTATACGGGGGATGGTACCAATTCTCGAACCATGTTAGAGTGAATCCGTGCTATAGAAGTGCCGTGTTATACAGGGGTTACCTGTAATTTCTCCAGCATATGCAATATATATATATAAAATAAGATATATATACATATATATATACAAATACTTTGCAAGCTAAATATCTCCATGCTGCTGACTGGAGATATCTGCTGTCTACAGCTCAAGATCATGGAAATCAATCATGGATCCTGGAGCTACAGTCTCCCTATTCCCTCTGTACCAGTGTTTCCTTATATACTCCTAAGATCAAAAGTATCAGGAAAAGTTCAATAAAACACAAGATTTGAATTTATTTATCAAAATTTATTTTGTTACCTTCAAAGTAATCCCCTCCCAACACAATGCACTTATGCCAATATTTTTCCAATCTTCTAAACATGCTTTAAAGGCATTTTGTGAAACCCCTTCAGGACTCACAGTGAATTTTGTTTTATGGCATCAATAACTCAAAACAGTAACCACAAAGCAGAAATTTTAGTTGAGGAAACAGAAAAAAGTCACACGGTGCTGTATCAGATGGGATGGAGCTTGCAGAACCATATTTTTGAATTTTTGGCCAAAAATTGATGATGAAAAACGAGCAATTATTTATTGTGACATTGTCGCCATGTCGCATCTCAATTTTTAACCATATTTTAAATTTTTTTCATTTAAAATATATATTTTCCACCTCACATTAGTAGCAGCTTGCCCACTGTACATCATACTTTTTTTTTAACAATAGTCATGCCGGTCATCTATATAACACCTTTCAGGGGAAAAGTTCTGAGTTGAAATAATATGACTTCCGGTTTGCATCAGAAGTTCATATATAGTTAATTGAAGCCTCCTGCCCCTAAGGTTTCCATATCTGGTCTCAGATTTTATCTAAAATCTCCATTTAACTCCATTTTATTTAACTCTATTTAACTCCATTCTCGAGATTAAGAAAAGACTGATGGACAGACGACAGTGGGAATTTATAGGTGTACAATTTTTGAAATTGCAGCCCAACAAGAGCATTGTGATGAAAAATCAATAAAGTTTTCTTGCCACAAATTTGGTCATTTTTTATGAATTCCTTTGTGCAAACAGTGCAAAGTGCTCAAATAATTTTTGTTGACAGTTTGGCCAGTTGGAAAACATTTGTGATGCATAATAGAATGAAAGAAAATAGTCAACAAGACCTTAATAGGCTCAAAACCTATTATTAAACATATTTGCTTTTGATTTGTCTTATAGTTCTTTCTACAGAGTGCTCTGAACACTTATTATGATCACTCTGCATTTTATTCTTTCTTCTTGATTTTATTTATGATTATTCTAGCTTTAAAAATCTTAAATTGAAATAATAGGAAATTTGAAAAAGTTTATTCTATTGAAGAGGTTTCTATAGATTGAAGTGATTATTAAATACTTAAAAAGAATTGCCATTAAAACTATTTGTTTATTTTTACTATTTTATTACTGTATTGTAATGCTTATTAGAATATTATCTTAATATAAATGTTTTTAATTTTCATTTATAGAATTCATTTTTATTAAATATTGTATTTGTTTATTGTTTAACATTAATATGTTTTTATACAGAGTGAGTTTTAGTTTTTATATTCTGTTATAATTATAACTTGAATATTTACATTTTCAAATTTAAATATCTTTAAAATTTTTTAGAGTTCTAGATAATTTATTTTTTAATAGGAGAAAAATATATGGGAATGTGGCAAGAGGATTGTAAACATGGGAATGGAATGGTTGTAACTATTGATGGCATTTACTATGAGGGAAATTTTGTTATGAATAAACTTTCTGTAAGTAATATTAGTTTCTTCAAATTTATATTACATTGAAAAATGACTATATTTATTATTACTATTATTAGGGCTATGGAGTAATGATTTTTGAAGATAATACATGTTTTGAAGGTGAATTGGGAGCAGGTGGTGTGCTTAATGGAAAGGTAACAAATCATATTCAATAATCTAATTCTATAATCATTTCAGTTTATTTTTAAGGTCTTAATATAGGATTAAATATTTAAGAAAAATTTTAAAGTAATATATGTATTAAATTTATAAAAGTTTAATTATAGTAAGTTTAAATTAATTTATATTGTACTTTTCATTTTATCTAGGGTACTCTTCATCTTTCCAATGGTGATAAAATTGAAGGATGTTTCACTGGAAAATGTTGTGATAGTTTTAAAATACAAGGAATCTATCACAAGTCACAACATCCATTAACTCCAATATCAAACTTTCATGATAAAAAGAAAACAAATCTAAGGTTATTAATTTTTTATAATATGATATCAATTAAAGTTAGTATTTTGCTATTAAAAATATACTTTGATAAAATAACTTATTAAAGTAAAGTTCTTGATTAAATATTAATACTGTATGCATTAATACTTAATCAAAATATTGTGATAATTTTATTAATATTGTAATACTTAACATAATATTTTTATATTTTAGACGTTAAAAATATATTATTGTAATAAATTGCAGTAAGTATGAATATATGAGTAATTTTAAATATATGTAATATTTAAAATTACATATATTTAATATGTAATTTTAAATATCTGTATAATAATTCAACATGATTAACAGTTATTGATCAGTTAAAGTAGTTTTATCAGATTAACCTAATGGTTTTTAAATACAGCTGTGACTGAAGCCATAAGGGTGGAGAGAATGATCTTTAGCACACATGTTATTTAATCCAAAGCCATTTAGTAACAATTGAAATTAGTGTTAATAATAAAATTACATTTTGTTTTATGAAAACCCTCATGAGTTACATGAGCAACCTTTATACAATGTTAACGTTATTGCTTGGTATGGTGTAGCAGCTTTTGGAATGATTGGTCTATATTTTTCCAAAGACAAGGAAGGCTGGAGTTGCAAGAGTAATTGAATGTTGAAATGTTTCACAACTTTCTTGAACTGGAGTTTTCCCAGGGTGATGTTGAATACCAGAATCTGTGGTTTTAAGAAGATGGGACAATATCTCAGACTGGGAACAATTCAAGGACTGTGATAAAGTTGAATAGGAAGAACATCAGGGGGGAGTGGCAGCAATTTCCCCTGAAATGTTGCAGAAAGTCATGCAAAGTTTTAGAGAATGATTGTAAGAATGTGCAGACACCACATCATATCCACAACATTCAAAAAGTGATTATTTAAAAAAATTCTGTGTTAAGTGTTCTAAGGCTAAGTGGAGGATGATGATAAATTTATATAGAAAAATTTTGTGACTTGTACACTATTTTAATTTCAAAACCATCAGGTTAATCTGCCACACCCTGTATTATAAAAAACATGATCATATAAGAATTTGGTAAAATGAAGCAGTGAAAAGAGACAATGGACAGAACAGATTTTCACTTAAATTTTGTAAATTCCATAAATCATTGGCTTTACTATTATTATCAACATATTCAAAAAAGTTTTTGATTTTCATAAATGTTAGACTACTATTAATTTTTTAAGCATATGATTTTTTTTTATCAGAGTTTAATTAAAGTTTAACTAGAGATAATTTGTTTATGTTTATTTGAATTATCACTAATATTTGGTAAAATGAAGCAGTGAAAAGAGACAATGGACAGAACAGATTTTCACTTAAATTTTGTAAATTCCATAAATCATTGGCTTTACTATTATTATCAACATATTCAAAAAAGTTTTTGATTTTCATAAATGTTAGACTACTATTAATTTTTTAAGCATATGATTTTTTTTTATCAGAGTTTAATTAAAGTTTAACTAGAGATAATTTGTTCATGTTTATTTGAATTATCACTAATAATTGCAATTTTAAAATATGAAATATTTAAATATAATATTTTTCTTATTAACTAAATTAATATTTTAATTCTTGACATAATTATTTTTCTGTTTTAAGTTAGTCATTGTAATGTGAAATTCAAAATATTTAATAGAATATTCTTGTATTACACATAAAGCTGAATTATAAAATAGAATGTACAGTCAACCTCCCTATAACACTTTGTGAATGGTTGTCTCTTTAATCCGATGTATTCTTTCGGTAGACTATCTTACAGCATCAGGTTAATGAATTCTTTTATTATATTTTTACATATGCATTTTGAACTGGTTTCATATTTCCAGTTCCTCTTCAGTGCTCTATAAATTACAATTATAGATATTAAGTTGACAAAAATTTATACAGATTAAAAATTAACAAAGTATTTAGATGTTAAGTAACACAACATAAACAAATTACTAGTACCTTTAAGGATTTTACACATTTCTTTTTATCCTCAGTTGGATTGTTATGAATTGCAGTATGACTTAACAATTGCTATAATCAATAATAACATAATCATAAAAATCATAAAATTTAGTGACACACAAGTAGTTTAAAAAACTATATAAAGTTTTCAAAAAAATCATACGTACAGGTTTTTTCTTTGAAACATATTCTACTAAAACACCAGTACTGGGCGTAAAATGTAATATGATGAAAATATTGCTATAAATGACAAACAATGATACAAACTAAGTGATAAAAATTTTTAAAAAAGGAAGGAAGTTTTTTTCTTTTACAACAAATATACATACAAACTTTTTTTTCTTTGTTTTTTCAAAGAGACAACCATTAACAAACGAATATACAGCTATAACCAGTAAATTTAATTTTCATGATGTTTTTGTCAATGTCATGAGTCAATATTTTTGTAAATAGTCTGAACTTCTAATTTTTGAAGAATTATTATTAGAAGAAAATATCCTGAGTTCATCATGAAAATTGTAATTTTTAATTGTTTAAATTTATTCTTGTTTTACTTTAACCTTATTATAAAATTGAAATTCACATAGTAACTTCAATTGTTTTGTTTTTGTGGCACTTACACACAGATTATTGTTATATATTGCGTACTTATTGTCAATTACAATATTGCATTTAACATTTGACTGTTGTATGAACAATGCTACTTTATCCAAAATGAAAGTACTGTAATTTCTATACAGTTGGTGTTTAAAATGTATTTAGATACAAAACAAAAAAAGATATTCAAATATAAACAACAACAACATTGCAACAACTATGCATTTCCTAAATAAAAATATATTATATATATATATATGTATGTGTGTGCGCGCGCGCGTGCTGGCATATAAGACACATCATATTTTCAGAAAGTATTTTTCAGGAGGGAACAGTATGTCTTATATGCCAACAAATACAGTAAACAAATGATTTACTTTTTCTCACTAACTGTAGAATTGATCACATATAACACCTTATTTTGCCAAGGAAAGTGTTTGTATAATTATCACAAACGTTTTCAGCTAGTTCTACAAGCCATCTTCAAGCATTAAATTACATTCTGTCATTAGAATATAACATTCTAAGGAAATTTTGAATAGAACAAATTTAAATATGAATAAAAGAATACAAAACAACTTTGAAAAGATGAATGTTACACAAAACTAAACTTAAATTAATAATAAACATATAATCACATTAGTAATGGCCTCCCCTTGTACAGTACATCATACTTTTCCTTTAACAATAGTCATCCAGTCATCTATCTAACATCTTTCATGGGAAAATTTTTGAATTCAAATAACATGACTTCTGGTTTGTGTCAGAAATTAGTTAATAGGGCCTTCTGCCCTTAAGGTTTCCATATCTCCTCTTGTCTTTCATCTATCTAACTCCATTCTCAAGATTAAGGAAAGACAGATGGATGGACAACAGTGGGAATTTATACATCTACAATCTTTTCAAATTGCAGCCCAATTATAATATTTAAATATACAATGAGAAGCCAAATATGAAAAATGTATAGAAAGGNTGTTTTGAATTTTAAATGAATTGGTTTGAAAGCAAAATTAAATTAATGTAAGCTTTCCATTTTCATTGCAATTTATTAATCTATGTAAACCTGATATATATATTCCCACAAAAATAAATGTTTATTCTTTTTGTTTTCAAAGAGTTTTATTATTACAAATCATTTCTTGTTTAGTTCATTTGGCCAGTTGTGTGTGCCTGCAGATAAGAAATGGGAAGATATATTTGGTCATTGTTGTGATATGTTAGGTGTAGGGGGAGTCAATCCTAAAATAGACACTGAAAGAGCTTGGGAAGCAATAGCTGTTGCAATAAGCAAAAGAAAAAAAGAGCTTCAGTCCAAGAAAAGGTGCTAATTTATAAATTTATTAACATCAATAATAAATAGAAGTGATTGAATATTTCAAACTTTCTCAGATCTCAGCTTAATCAAGAAGACATCGATATTTTGGAACGTATACCAAAAATTGGCATTGAAGATGAGAAATTAACATTTGATGGATATAAAGAAATTGAGGAATATTTACAGAGAGCATCTAATTTCCATTTTCATCCAATAGGATTATTAATAGAAGGATTGGTTGATGTATATAGGTTAGAATTAATTTTATATTTCTTTACTATAAATATGTTGAAAGTACTGAATTTTAGAAATAGGAATAATTTAGTAGGCAGATGTAAAATTAATTTGTTTCATGATTTAATTTTTTAATTCTGTTACAAGAGCTACTTATTTGGGTATTGGTGCTCATCCACGTCTCTTACCACATGCCATAGCAGAAATAAATTCTTTTATTAAACGAACATATTCAATAATAAGGTAATATTTAAATTTAATTCAGTATTATTTGTATTAAAATTATTAGAAACTGTAATAATTTTATTTTGTGTAGAATATTATTTCCTGGACTTCCTCATCCTGATCATCCATTATCATTAAGTCCTGCCAATTCTGATGAATGGATTGCTTTATCTGATGTAGAAAAGGAGTCTAATAGGTATATACAGTAGAGCATCAATTATCCGACCCCCAATTAACCGTCACATCGGTTAACCGACTGTTCTAGTCGGCAAATTTCAAATGTCCGCTAGTGATGTGGTGCTACAATATTTGGCTGTCTTGGCTACTTTAATATTATTTTTGTTAAATTTTTGTGTGTTTTAGCTGGCAACATGGCTCAACCATGGAAGGAAGGCCAGTATTTAAACGAGACTTAATTTTCCAATTATGAGTGGTTGTTTGTTTTGTGAGCAATAAAATAATTTAAAATAATTTTTAACGATACAATAGCAACGATTATTATTTAAAAAAAAAAATTTTGTTAGGCTTAACAATTGATGAAAATTCAACGCGAAGTTGGTTAATAGCGATATGCTAATATACTATTTACATGGGATATACTAATATACTATACTAATGTATTTTTTTTGTTCTTTTCGGTTATCCAATTTTTTCAGTTATCCGACCAACCTGAGTCCTCAATTGAGTCGGATAATCAATGCTCTACTGTAAATGCATTTTAGAAAATTTCAGATGAATGTCTTAATAATGGAATAACATGATTTGCATTTAATTTTTTCAACATAATTATTTCTAGTGTTGTTGCAACTCCAGCAAGTCTCCTGCATCCAATCTTGTTACCTAGAATTTACCCTCCATTATTCACACTCTATGCTCTATTCAATGAGAAAGAGAATGAAAAATATTGGGAACGTTTACTCAAATGGAATAAACAGTCAGATGTAGCACTTATGACTTTCCTGGGAGTAGACATGTAAGAAATTTTTCTGTATTTGCTTCATGCCTGGTTGTTGTTTTGCAGTTTCATCAATGGCCACCAACATTTATTGATTCATTTTATATGGGGAATGCATTTCAGACTATTTTGTCTCTCATCAGCCCCTATACAAGTTATACATTGTCAATAATCATACATCATTTTTAGACCTACATAGATGAGAATTCCACTTACACTTTTTGATGGGATTACTTTATTCATTAAAAATAATAATAAAAGAAACAGACAACTGTTTTAATATACAACAAATGTTAAACCTTTATAATCACATTTTCTACTTTTAATCATTTTCAGTTCCAAAGCACTTTTTACAGCCCCACTCCATTTTACCCTTGTTTTACCCTAATCATAATTGTATGTCCCTTTCAAAACTATTTTTTGTTTTTTAATTATTTTAATGGAATCTTTAACTATTTTGCAGTTGTTATTGTTGCAATATTCTACTACTGCAAAGGAATTGTTGTTATACTTTAATGCCTCAATATGTTCTTTTATTCTAATTTTAAGTTTCCTACCAGTTTCTCCTACATACACATGTGCATTAGCACAATTACAGTTAAATTTATAGACTAAATTTTTTGCTTTCCAAATTTCCCTTTTTTTTTGTTTTTTATTCATAATTAATTTTCCTAGTGTGTTTGACAATTCTGGTATTAACATTATTTGGTAATGATTTTCTTTTTTTAAGGGAATGTTTGTTAAGCAGTGTTAATTTGCTAAGATGAACGAAAATTGTCTGAATATTATCCTTCCTGACAAAGAAAATGACAGGTCTAATCCACCAGGAAAAAGAAGATCTTCGATACTTAAGCCAGTATCAAGAGCACCTTTACAAGAACTGGATTGCAATAGTAATAAAGACAAAGAAACTAGACGATCAAGACGAGTCAGTTTTGCAGATACTTGTCAGATAAAAGAAGTTGTTTTTAGCCATAGTGGTATAACAGAAATCAATTTGACAAGAAAGATTAAAGATACGTCTGAAACACAAGGCCATTCTCCTGAAGAATTACCTATTTCACAACCAGGTGAAGATGGTAAATTTGTAAATTCTAAAGAAGCCAAGTGTAATGTTACAAAAAAAATATTCAAATTATTTGATAATTTTTAATTCCTTTTATTTATTTTTTAAAAAATGCCTTTCTCATAGTTTTATGAATTGTGATTAGTTAGGAGTATTGGTAATATTTATTCTATTCTGATCCATATTGAATAACCACTGATTTATTGTTTTTTTTTATTGTAACCATTCAATAAAAAGATTAATTATTTTATTTATTTGCACATGTGTATGTAGGAGAAACTGGTAGGGAACTTAAAATTAGAATAAAAGAACATATTGCAGTAATAAAGTACAACAACAATTCCTCTGCAATAACACAACATTGCAACAATAACAATTGCAAAATAGTTAAAGATTCTATTAAAATAAAATAATTAAAAAACAAAAAATAGTTTTAAAAGAAGACTTTATGAACATATTGAAGTTATAAAGTTAAAAGAAACAGAAAAAATTAATAATAACAACAATGGTTTACAAATACATGGTTCTTGGTATCCTGTTTTAAACACCAAAGTTGGCTGTTTTTTTTAAATGGATAAGGGAGTCATTATCAAAAGGTGTAAGTGGAATTCTTATCTATGTAAATTCATTTGTCTAAAATGATATATGATTATTGACAATGTCTAACTTTTATAAGGGCTGATGAATGACAAAATGATCCAAAATGCATTCCCCATATAAAATGAATCATTAAATGATGATTTCCTAATCAAGCCATAATTCCTATCATGGTATAATAAGTCTGGTATTACTGCAGATGATAATTACCATTAATGAAACTGTAAGAAATTTGTGTAACATTTTGAAGTATTAAAAATTTGTTTTTGAAACTTCAATTAAGTCAATGTCTGCATTGAAAATATATTACAATTTATTCACTATACAGGGATGTAGCCAGAAATTTGAGTGTGGGTTACTTGTGTAGAAGATGGCTTGCATAGACTTAGTGTAGGTAGACAAATTACCATAAACATGCAATAGCCCATGATCACCAGCAACAAATTATTGTTGAAACAGCTGCCATATCAGTATTTCATGTCATATGAAGCCATACACAAACTATAGTAAACTCAATCAAAATAAGTGGGCTGAACAGGTATTAAATTTTATTCTTTATCTCACGACTTTTCATACAGCTTAGTATTTAGGTCTAATATGCCTGTTTTCCCATTTCGTTCAGTAGTTAATTGCATGTAACATTCTTTTTACACTGTTTGCTGTTAACTTTAAATTTAAGTGGTATGGCAGTGGGGCCAACAGACAGTGAAAGGCAGAAGAGTTTGTGGGAAATGCAACTCTATGGCTACATCCCTGACTATATTTAGAGGAAAAAGAAACATTCTTATAAAAGTGTTTTGGATTATTTGATTATATTTGAATATAATTTTTAGATATTTAATTATCTTTTACATATCAGTAAAAATATCAAGTATGTTTGTTTAAAATTAATATTGATGATCTGTATAATAAGTGTGTAATCTAACTAAACTAATATTTTATATCAATTTAAGGTAATTAATCTTGTTATAATACAGTTTTTATTTAAATTTTTGATTAATTTATTTAATCCATATTTTAATTATACCATATCTATATTTACTTATATTTGTAATTTATTTAAACATTAATATGTACGTTATTAGTTTAAAAATTTCTTTAAATTTGACTTTGATTAATTTTTCTCATAGAAATTTAATTCTATGAGAAGAATTTAATACTATACTAGAATAGATACATTATCAAATTATTGCTTTTAAAATAACTTACTTCAAATTCCACAAAAACTGATAGAAATTTAATCTATTTTTAACTACTTTCAATAAATATTACAATAAAATATTTACAAATTGGCTCTTCTCTGGTAAACAGCAAATATGAAAGAGTCAATTAAATTCAAATAATATATAAGTATATAAAAGAAGTGAAACTATTCATTTTTATTTATCATATTTAATTAAAATGTGCTGATTTTAAAAGTGCTTTACATATAAGAATTTATAGTTTCACACTCAGTTTTACTTGTCTTATAAACTTTTATTATATTTAAATTGTAATTATAGTTTAAGTAAATCATCCACATATTGATTAGTATTAAGTAACTTCAATAGATCTTAATTTGATTGATTTATTTTACCTCTAAAAGTTATCTATACTGATATAATAAAGAGGTAATGTTTGTAAGTTTCGTTGCAGCAGGTAATCTCCGAAACTACTCATCCGATTTCAAAAATTCTTTCACCAATATTTAGAATGGAACCTCAGGGTGGACATAGGCTGTATATTATTCCGTTAAACATTCATATAAATTAAAATATATAATCTAGGTTAAGGCTTTTATGTCCAACAGATGGCGCTACGAGTACGACGCCCTAAGTTTGCTTTTCTGCGAGGCATTACGCTTTTCTGTGAAAATGAACTAAAGTGGATCATCTTCTATCTATTTATATAAATAAAAATGTAATGTTCGTTTGTTCCTACCGATTCCTTTTAAATTTTGACACAACGCTGCATTCGAATGCGCACGTGTTTTTATATCATATACGTGTCGAAATTTCCCGCACTGGGGGGAGATGGACAGGATTAAGGCTTACAGTAAAGAACTCTGCTTCTATTTATACTATTTAAGATGCGGTTTTTTGCGTTTTTGATTGCGTTTTAATAGGGTACGTCAACAGAATGTACACTAAGAAGGAATTTTTCGATATTCCCCCACGGGGAGAGGGACAGGATTAAGGCTTACCGTGAAGAACTTGGCTTCTATTATACTATTTTAGATGCGGGTTTTTGCGTTTTCGATTGCGTTTTAATAGGGTACGTCAAGAGAGTGTACACTAAGAAGAAATTTTTCAAAAAATTATTCCCCCATGGGGAAGTGTTATACATTTATAATAGATACATTTTGAGCCACAACAACGCATGGCGGGGTCTGCTAGTTTAATAATAATTTGAAACTTTTTTTTTAAATGATAATTTTATAGTTTGTTTTTGAACAAATATTTACGTTCTAATTCTACACACTCCCTGATAGAGATATAAAATAATTATATTTAATATCATATTGTATAAATATTATTCTATAATTAGTTTAATAGGAAAAATAACTTAGCTTATTTTTTTAAATAAATAAAATAAAATGTATTTTAAAAGGATTTGGTTGTTTTCTTGATAAAAATAGCTTGTTCATTATGTACTTGTCAAAAAGTTTGATTATTTTTTTCATAACTTATTTTAAAATATTTACAAAAATTTTTTTTAATAATAAAGCTGACTTGGATATGAAGAACATACAATGCTTATTCAATTTTGTTTTAAAAAAAATTAAAAATGCTAAAATAGAACATTATTAAGTATAATTAGTTGTCATCTTCTTTTAGATTTAATTTAATGATCAGTATTCAAGATTGTTTTACCAAGTAAAATTAATTTTATATCAAAACTACATTATAATACATGAGTATTGTTAATTTTAGTAAAAATAGTACAGTAATGGTATTTTCCTAGTAGATAGATAGACACATGAATTAAGATATTAAATAAAAAATTGGTCAAAAACTGCAAAGTATATCTTTAGCACTTACAAATAATATACATTATTTATTTGTTTATAAGATTGTTAACAAATTATAAATTATTTCAGTATAGTTTAATAAAATTTATAAACATATTGTATTAGATACATAAAAATATTCATTATTTTTAGGAAATTTTGGGTAACATCAGATGACGATGCTATTGGAGAACGTCGCCAGGTATTTGTTTGTTATCTTTCTTTCTTTTAAAAAAATTAATTACTGTAAAGAAATTCATTTTGTCATTTTCACTTGACTAGAGTCTATGCAAAGTCAAGGATAAATATTTTGCAACTGCAGTTGAAACTCTGCAACATATCAGGTAAACAAAATTGCAGATCTGAATGTTATAAACTTATGATATTAAATTAACTTTTTTTATTTAATGTTTTAGCACTGCTTTTACACCATTGAATAAGTTGAAAGTAATATATCAGACTTTCTACGAAATAAATAAGGTCAACGTTTATTTTAATAGTACATTTTAACATTTAAATATTAGTACGAACATAATTTACCAATTATTTTACAGGATGTCCAAACACATTTAAGTTCAGACTTTTTGTGGAAGATGGATGACTTATTTCCTGTCTTTCAGTACGTTGTAGTCAGAGCTCGAATACGTCATCTAGGCTCGGAAATTCATCTCATAGACGACTTAATGGAGCGACACCTCCAACATGGCGAATATGGTATCATGTTTACTACTTTGAAAGTAAGAGAGATTATTTTACTTATATGTAATAATACTGTAAATGATTATTTAGCATGTAATTAATGTGTTAAAAATATAATGAGCATATTTGTGGATGATTTAACAGAATTTAAATTAATTTTAATTTTTCAAAATTAAATCCATTATAGGCATGCTACTTTCAAATCAGGACAGAAAAAATAGATAATAATTAATGTTGGCAGTACTTTTATAAAGTATAGGACGAACCTCACAGTTTTGCTCAAATAATTAGTCACAAATTAAATGGCAACGGACGATGTTTAGAATGGTATTTATAAATATTTTAAAAGTTTATTTTTCTTCTATAAATTTGTACAAATAAAGAGAAAATTATTTAACAGTTTTTGTATGTATAATCATATTTATTAAATGTTGCTGTATGCTTCAAACAAAGAACCAAAGTAAGCAAGCATGCAGAAAAAATTAGTAGCATTTTTTTAAAGCTGGAAAAAAAGCAATGAAATATTCTAGGTTTTATATTATACAGATTATATGTATGTAATTTACACAGAAGTTTATGTAGATATTCAGCTTTTTGTAAATGCAAATGCTTAAAAATTGTAATTTTTTTGTTTTTTTTTTTTTTTGTATTCACTAAAAAATTTCTACATCAATAATCATTTTGTAATTGTGTTAAAATTAGCAAATTTTAAATTATGTATATAATTTAAATTTGTATATAAAATAGTGTTAATTCAAAATATATTTTTACAATGTAATTTCAGGATTGATACAATTTAAAATAATAAAAAATCAAAATGTTTTCTAATTAATTTGTATTTTATCTTATTTTTTCATTTTTATTATTTAAATATAAAAATTAATTGATAGAGATACATTAATTTGCTATAAATAACATATTACATTACATTACATTCTATGTAATGTTTCCTATAATTTTAATTTTTAGTAAAAAAAAACTTAGTTTACATAATTTTATTACTTGTGATTTCAAATATGAATTTTTGTTTACATATCCAATACCATTAGCAACAGTTGCTTTTATTATACACTTCTGATTCAATTTGAAATATTACTGAGCCGGAATACATCAGTTAACTGCAGTAAATGCCATTAATTTATACGAAAAATGAAAATAACTTATAGCTACGATTTAGATTAGCATTATCATAGATTTTATTGCACTTAGAATTAATTTTCCAAGCATTATCTTCATTCCTTTTTTTTTAATCACTTCTGTTGACATTTCATTTTCTGTCATTTTTTACCAATCAATCATGTGTTTATTGATTCATTCCAAGAAATTTTTGTTTTTCTTACTAAACTTTTGTTCAATTTGTATTTATCCAAGTCTATATTCCAAAATTTTCTATGCCGTTATAACTATTTTCAAACTCTTTTTTTAAATGTTATACCAATCAAATTGAATACTACTATTAGATTTATTTATTTGACTACATTTTTATAACTGTCCCCGCGGATTTGTCCAAGTCACTTAACAAGTATATCTCGGTATATCTATTACGTATATTATATTTTACGTCTTAAAATATTTAATTCTTGAATTCTAAACCATCATTAATGTACAAGAAATAACTACCGGTTTGTAATAATTTTATTATTAATAATAAAACGGAAGAGAAATTAAAATGGTCGCGCTTCTAAACTTATTTTTAAAAATATCGTTAAATAAATCGGATAGTTTAAATTGTTTTAACGTTTTAAACAATCACAATTTAAAGTCCTTTCGAATTTTTTTCCCCTAGTAGGAAGGCGAATTGACTTCTATAATTGCTTTCTCCATAATTCGTTACAATATACGTTCTTAGACCAATTAACAGATCCACATAAACTTGACCTTGTTCGGTTCCAATTAACGTATTCGACGATGGATTCGCCGTATCCGTAATTATTTATTAGAACAGAAATATAGATTAACAATTGTAACTGATAATAATTTCCATTGAAAATATCGGCTTATAAAAAAAATTAAATAATTAGAAATAATTGGAACGGGATAAAAATGTATGTATATAACAAATAGCTAGATAAGCTCTATGATAATTTATGTTGCATTTCCTGTGTTTTGACACAGTCGACTTTCCATAAACCTCTCCTGTTTGCGTCATACGATGCGTAGGTTTCTACGTTAAAGGTCAACCCAAGCACTTGTCGTCTCGTACAGCGCCTACATTTAATAAGTTTAAATTATATAATTTTTATTTAAATCAGTATTTTTTGTTCGAGCTCATTTAAATTAAAATGCTAAACGATAACCGGAATTACGATTTAAATTGTTTAAGGTGGACGAAATAATAAATGGAAATGATTGCTTGGGATAAGGACAGATGGCGACACTGCGAATAACTAACGTATGAGTGATCTTTCCTGGAAATTTCGACTGTTTATGCCCCTTCTCGTTGAAATACGCAGTTTCTGAGAAAAACGGCTTGCTGGGAATTGCGGAAATATTAAAAAACGCTATCGAGGATTTGCTATCGTAACAGTAAACGTTAATAAATATTTAAAATCTTTTGTGTTAAATCATACGTTAAATATAAATTACAATAAAATCCATTCATTCGTCGAGCGCTAAATTCCTTTTAAATATTACGAAAATCAAAATGAATTCCCGTGTAAATAAAAGACAGTTATTCAAAACATCGGAGCGCCATCTACCGAAGTTAATTAAAATTAATAATTATGGAAATTAGAAATATTTTCGATCGACAAGAATAAATGTTGCTAAAACTAACGAAGGTGCTTTTTTGTACGAGAAATGTTATACGAAAAAGGTTATTAGATTTTATTACGGGTGAAAATAATATAATCATAAATTTAAGTGAAAAAGAGAGATATACATGAAGTTTTTCGTTGAATCGGGGAAGCCCCACAAACAATAAATCCTTAATTTTATTATTATTGTTATTGTTACACGATTAATGGTTTTGACGTCGTTAGGGTCAAGTTGGTCGTCTTCGAATGATATTGAGTTACATCGGAAACGACCTTATTTTTCTTAATTAACCTTATTAAAATTCATTTTGACTCGGTAACGCCTTCGATGCCCCGAACTTTACGTCAAAAGCAAATTTATATGGAACAGAATAAATTCGGTAATATAAAAACATCTTTAATATTCTACAATGGTTGTGTTTTATTTAATTTAAGAACAGTATTATGTAAACACAACCAATCTCGAAAGTGCCTTGTGAAGTTGAATATATTCTTAGAAAAAGGTGAATCTAAAACTGTATATTTAGTGGATTTTTTTCGAAATTTTGTTTGTAGAAACGGTTAAATACTTAAAGAACATCGTCATTGGAAGCACTAGTTTTAGCTGTCGACCGCATTATGGGCACATTCGATGGATAATGGCTATTTGTCGGAGCATAATCGTAAAGTTTATCCTCGACAGCTGTATTAGAACATCAACTGGGGGTAGATAACCTCTGTTTTCAAGTAACGGTACATCTTTCTAAATTTGGAAGAGTCAAGTTCACAAACGTTCGAGTTCACCATTCTGGTGATTTGGTATGGTGCGACAATCAGAAAAAAAAAAGACTTCCATCTCAAGGACAAGGAGGGGGACGTGCCCTCCTGACTTTCGTGTGTCCTTGACCGAATAGGATGAGATCAGAGTTTCTCTCTCGCTATTGGGTGCCGAGGCATATAAACATTGTCACCAAGATCCTCTAGTTAACTAATTAAAGACGCGAAAAACGGATCGATGGCACAAAGGGCGTTGCTACCCGCGCAAAATTCCTCTTTGTTCGTTAATTATATAAATAAAACTCGATACCTGTATAAAATAGCATTTCTACATAATTAAATCTTTAATTTCTTTAATTGTGTGACGCTTTTGGGGTGGTACAAATGTGTTCTATAATAAATATCCGAGTGGGATTTTAACCGTATTCGTGACTTTACTAGCTTTTAAAATTGCTTCGATACGCGTACATTGTTATATAAGGATTAAAAGACAGTTTTCACGGTTATTACATTTAATTCTAATAAATATTCTCTGGGATATTTTTCTTATATTTAATGGAGCTATGCTTTGCTCGGTGTAGAACAGTCATGAACGGAGAGAATTGTTACTATTTTGGATCTCCCTTCCCCTTCATCGTATTTCGTTAAAAATTAATTCTCCGACACGTTCGTAGTTAGTTAATTATCGCATCATCGGACAGGAAATATTCGCTAGATCAACATCTCCGCGTGTGACCGTTCAAGTTTAAAAAACGAAACCGAAAAAATATATGTTAATATGATTTAAAAAATAAAAACTGGTCTGGGATTGTATGTGGAATGACCCATATCCAATAGAATAAACCAGGAAGTGAGTTTTCAAACAATTTTCTTTTGTCATTTCGTATGAACTCCTTTTCTCCTCGAATTTATTAATTCTAAATAAACGAAAATTTCGCCATGAACTAAAACATAATTAAATAAAATTCTCTATAAAATACTTGCGGCAGTTTCCTAACAGTACGATACTTCTGTACGAGGTTTCGATTAATAAAATGAATTATATTTAAACAAGATCGATGCGGATGCAGAATCAAAACTCGAAAATAGCAGCGATAAGCGATGAATTGTGTCATTAAAAAAAAAACACTTTAGAAAAATAAAGACGAGAGATAAATATTTAATTTCGAAATATCAGGTAAACGAAGATTACTTATTTTTCCAGAAAATGCGATGTGTGTCGGGCGTGTCGCTCTTGCCAGATTGGTTTCATCAATATGACCTTTGAACTCGATATCACCCACGTGGTCTGTCTACAAACGTGGCATTGACCCTGTGCTTTAAGCCAATGCAATACCGCTGACGCAAGGAATTTAAGATAGTTCAAGGTCAAAAGACTTCTAACTTATTTTAGTATATAATGTGTTAGAAAAGGATTTTTTTTGCGTCTATTTTTTCACCTTGGGCGACAGCTGTTGATAATATTTATGAACGATCCTTACTCTCCGCTTGTTATTTCAAGATTTAAGAAGAATCCCCCTTATATAAAGTAATGACGCTACAAGAATTTCTGTCCGTTTTGGAGTCGTTTCTGGTAATCCGAATGGGTATACATCAATCCGGAATGTTATCCCTTAATGCTATACACGTTTTGTTATAATAGAGTCGAGGGATTATAGAATACCTTAATTTGCCTCTTTGCAGTCGGTTCTTTAAACTAATTTTTTCCCCTTTATCCTTTTTTGGATCGTGCGGGGAGTCATTTCACAACATTCTATTTCGACACAATATATACTTCGTTTTGTGATTAGGACATGCCCTGGGGATAACAAACAAACAGCTAACAAAATTCAAAGGTAATTAACACTTCGGACTTTTATATTTTGTCCGGTTTTCCCTAAACAAACGCAATCTTAATGATTCAACTTATAAAGGCTTTGCAAAGTGCCCACAAAAATAATTTCAGAAAACTTCCCCCATTTTTTTATAATTGAAATAAAGAAGGATTTTTTACGAGAATACTCCCATTAAATATATTTTTGTGTACGTTTACACCATCAAACAATGGTATATTGGCGGCGTTGTAGTGTCGAAGGCTGCGTTGCTGTGTTA